GCTTTCGTTTTGTTGGCCACTCTTGGTCCCCAATACTCCCACTAGCTAAAGGGCCGTCCCCCCTTCCCGACCCACATTCGTCGTCTTTTGCATTCTGAACCTACTGGTTGGGGGCTGATGTGGAGACTACACCTGACCTGCGCCTGCGACCGGGCGGAGGACGACGCGAAGAGCTTACAATAAAGCCTCGAACAGGTCCCTATGCCCCCAGCGCCTGCACGAAAAACTCGGATGCAGCTAGTCCTGGGCAGCTAGGTGATCAAGTTTGGGCCGTTCACAGACCCTCCTGCCAGTGGAACGTGGAGAGAGAGTTTTCAGGGAATTTCAAGGACTGCAGAGGCAAATGACCCTGCATGTTTCTGGTTAGTGTTGTGAAGCCCTGGACGATGGGATGGGTCTTTAGATCGCTGTCCTTCGGCTCTGCGCAGTCGGTGTTGGATGCAGACTTAAAGGTTTTCAAATGTTTTGAATGCGTACGAGCAACTCTCTGCATCTGTTGGCTCTCCCGGAGGTGTGGCGGCCTCGCAGCCGCGATTAAATGCTCTTCAAGGCTTCACATCTGTGGGCTGTGTAGGTGCACAGTAGCGTGCCAACAGTGCCAAGCCTCGTCGGTCGTTGCTTCATCACCGGTGCTGTAGCCGCCTTTTTCCTGATCGAAAGTTTGTGGAGGCACGGCGTGTCGCTGGGCATCCTTTGAAGCTGAGGATTGGACTGAATCGGACGAGGCTGGGGTCCTCAGCTGGGCTCTTTGCTGCGAACGTAACCTGGCCCTAATAAGCCCTTCGGCGTTCAGACCCTTCACCACACTTTGGTTCCTCGGCTCCAGGCTTCACTCGCCGTAGTTTCTGTGGCGTCAACATCTCCGGGCCTCGCAGAACATGCGAAACACCAGAGATGCCCTGAGGAGGGTTAAGGAGAAGAGACCAAGAAAGAGAGAAAGCTGAATCCCTATCAGTGCCTATCAGCCTTCGCTACTTGTCTTCACGAACCAATGCGGTTCCAAGGGGCTTGGAAGATCTTTGGGAACCAGGCCAACCTGACGCTGCTCAAAGCGCAGTGCCGCTTGAAATCTCTCCGCGTCTCGACGCTCTGCGACAGGCCTCCTGGGCTTCCGGGTGCACGGATCCGAACCAGGAGCGCCTGAGAGCAAAGAACATCGGATGTGCCTCACTTCAATGATTCAGCAAACCCATATTTCGTGCTTACGCTTGCTCACACCATCTGTCGCAGCCTGCTACCCCTATCCTGTCGGACTATCAAGACAAGGTGGACCGCACAGATCAGAACCCCCGTCCATCAAAAGACGCTCTACCGGAGCTTATGCGACTGCTAGCAGCTGACAGTTGCAAGCCCCGCACTCTCCACAGTGGCGCAGCCTCAAATTGAATGTCATGCTGCAGTGGCATTGGGAAGAAGGACTGCAAGATATTGGCTCTCTGTCTCTTCTTCCACACAAACAAGAGAAGGGGCGCTCCCCTCCGCCGCACGCAAGCGCGCACTGCCAGTCTCTGTCGACGTGTGAAAACCAGCTGGATGCAGCAGGCGGATGCAAACTCTTAGATCCCCCGAGACCTCTCTGTCTCTCTTGCTTGCTTGCTTGCACGGCGTTTGGGGCAGGGCCCTGGGACCCCAACCCCTTCGCTCTCACGCTACGCCAAGGTCTGGTGTCTGTCAGTCGGGGTGATAGCTGCGCGGGATTCGGCACATCTTGCCCCGAGATTCACCCTTAAGTCCCCGAGCCCCTACATATCCCGCCTAGGCGGGTTCGCTGGTGCCGACTCCCACTCCGTGCGCCCCTTGTCATTGCAAGGGTTTTCGAAAGGTGCTCCAAAGATCGGTACACAAGCGCATAGGGTAGCCCAACCTGGAAACAGCACCAAGAATGGAACAACGATAGTCACAACATTGGTTGTGTTCCGGAGCTTGTTCTTGGCTCTACTGTTGCTGTACTTCAGGTTTGTGGAGTGTGTTGCTTGTGGCGGCACGGGTCCCCTAAGGAGAAGCAGGTATAGGGGCACAAGCAAAATCGGGCAACGCCTGTGTCCGAGTCTTGTTTACTCTCTCTCTCTCGCTCCCTCTCTCTTTCTTTCGCCAGGGCTGTGGTGGGGGTTGCCTCCCCACCGCGCGCATGTGCGCCCCCGCCTGTTGCTTGCGCCAGTAGAATATACGTGCATGCAAATGAAGGCAAGGATCGCACAAAAGGACAGTGCCTACACTCCGGAAATATTAATGAATAAAGCTAACAACACCGGTTGTAAGTTCGTCGATGCCTTTACATGGCGGGGCAAACCCCCTGTCGACTGCTGAGGGTGTGACAGCTTGCTGGTTTTTCAGCAATCAGCATGTCACACAAGGTAGTATCAGTCTTCTTAAGCAGTGGCACAAAGTATGGACACGAGCGGCCCTCGTGCGTGTCCAAGCACGGGGCCTCACTTTCTCCTTCCTTCACAGTCTGGGGGCGAGCCCCCGTATGGAGGCACTCCCTTTGTTGGCTGACTCTCTCGCTCTCACTCAGGGCTGTCGAGGCTTCCGGAGCCGAAGGCTCAGCCCTGTTGCCGACGTGAAGCGACAGTACAAAGGCGAGAGGAAGGACTCAGAAGGAGCACACAATAAGTTTACACTGCCAAACATTCGCCCGACATTGACTGCAACTACATGCGATGGCAGTTGGAGGAAGAGGCATCACGACTGGCGGTTACGAAAGAGATCGTCTACTAGCAGCATAAGAGTCACCGACAACTGCAGAGTAGCACCCTCGCAACCAGTCAGCAACAATGCAAAAACTGACATCTGCACAAAGAGACTGGTTGCCAAACGCGGGAAAGGAAGCCGCTGATTTCCGAAAATATTGAAGTAAGGAGAGCTCTAAAGTAACCCGTAACGTCAAAAAAGATCCGCGCTTCTCCTGACCCTGTACTCGTAATACGACGCTTGCACTGCATGAGGGAGTCCGCGCGTACGCGTCCCCCAGCCCGATTTCGGGCAGCGGTGGGAGTGGACTTTTGCTGAAAACGAAAGGCAGAAAGCCGTGCTTCCGCCCGGCGCCCCTACTGTGGTCTCTCGGACCGGATGGGTGACCCTCACCGTACGCCTCGGTGGGGGCAGGCTGTGGGTACCACACTGTTAGTTCGAAGGAAAATAAAGTAAAGTGTGTGCCGAGGGGAAGAAAAACATGCTCTAATTACAGGCCCCGACCTTCTTCCACACAGTCAAGGAGAAAGCGAGAACGCTCCCCCTTGTGCGATCCTGCGCGCGGGCGCGCCCTGTCTGTGCGAGTCTGTTCGAAGTCTGCGTAAGATGAGGCCCCCGTCTTGCAACTCTGCAACCTCCCGTATTCAAACTAAAATATCCCCAGGCCTCATCTCATCTGCAAAGGCGGCTGCCGGAGCTCGACTGTCTTTGCTTTGCTTTGCTTGGGGGTTGAGCTGCAAGCAGACCTTGCAGCCCGCGCTGTCGCGCTACCCCATCCAACATTTTGTTTGGATGGGCTTGGCTTGGCTAGCTCGACTCTCTCTCTTTCTCTCTCTGTCTCTCCCTGTCGCAGGCGGACTCGGAGCAGCGGATGTACCGGGTATCGCACTCCTGGACCCACTCGCTGACAAAGGCGTATGGAGCTCCTGCCGGAGGAGTGCGAAGTAGAGCGAAGACCCTTCAGACGCAAGGCCACCCACTCTCCTGTCGGAATGTCGCTGCTGTGGAGGACCCAGTGCCCAGGCTCCAAGCCCTGAGCGGCAGTCGCTGGTAAGTCGAGGCGGCGAACTTGGTGTGCCCCAGCCTTCTGCATCGGGTAGCATTGCTCATCGTGCTTGCAAACGAGCCTCGTGACTGAGACATACGGGGTGGGAACTTTGAACTCGGATGCATTCGTGCTTGCAGCGTCCCGGGGGCACTGCCACACGTTGGTCGCTGTTGGGTCCTCCAGCATGAGCTCTCCATGACAGTTTTCGTGCATGAGCCCTGCCATGTCTTTGAAAGGCTTACATACTGTCAAACGCTGTCAGAGCTGGACGACGACATAAACGGATGGTTGAGAGGCAGCGGCAACTGAGGCTGTGGCCCAGTATTCGAACACACGGGAACCACCTGCCATACTCGGTAGCTGACCTTGTCGGGCACTGCGATCACATTTTCACGCATGCCCGTGCCCCCTCAGGCATCGGCAGCGCTTGCAAACAGCTCAGCGCCACAAAACTGAATCAATCCCCTTCGTGGTTCTGACTTGTGGCTGCTTTCTTGGTTAGCTGTTGGTTGAGATCGGTCGCTGAGTGCCCTGGCCCTGTTCAGGCTAGCAACAGTCAAGATCATCTCATGATACTAGAAAGGGGGGCTGTGCCGTGCAAAAGCAAAACAGCAAGCACTGGCTTTGGAAAGTAAGCCATATGGTTCGGCTGACTCATGAGGCTTGCTCCATGCTCGAGCCAGATCGGCATTGAAAACTGCTGCATCGAGCCACCATGCACTCAAAACACCGACTTAGCTGCTAAGCGGTTACCTAGGACCTGGGAGGGCAGACAGACTCGACCAACTCCACATGCATGAACCGGTATTGACATTAGAGGTATCGCACTGTATAGGATCTCATGATTAGAAAGTGTGCAAAGTGGCTGGGAAGCCTTCAAGCGATCTAAGAGGAACCGCTCAGCCGCAATGAGCAGGTGCACCGCCAGCTCGGAAGAGATTTCTCCAACCTGCAGACGAAGGCTTGCCAAGAGCCAGCAATACCTGCGCATTAGCGGATAGGGCAGCTTGGCAGGTCAGCACCAACAAGTGCCTGATCGGTGTAGATGTACCTTGGCACTGCAGTCAAGCTAAGGTTTTTCGTTGAATCCGCCGGCTCCCTCTACCGCAATAGTTCGAAGTGGAAGGGCTTTTAGCCAAGCCGAGGCCGGTGCTCTAGTAGCAAGAGGAAGACGGGGTGCGCGACATCTTGAAGCACGATTTGCTCCTCGGCATCGGACCTGAAAAACGAAGGTACTCCAAAGCCGCAAGCTTTACTCAGTAGCTATGGTTTGGGCTTTTGAAGCTCAGAGTTTAGTAGGAGTACTGAGTTAGTTTAGGGTCTTCCCATGCAAGTTCCACGTCGGTCCTCTGCGCTTCAGGGCTGAAGAATGTGCGGTGCCGTGTTTCACATCGTACTCAGCACTGCCTTTGCAAGCCCGCCCTTCAAGGTCAAGTGTAAACCTTAGCCTCAGCTTCGTCTTTAGGCTTCTAGGATTTAGGAACATTGAAACCTAGGATCCGGGGTTCGAAGCTCGGCCGAGCCGCGACTCTCGCATGCCTCCGTAGAAGAGCGCTCTGAAGTGCTCGGACCGAGCAGCCAAATGCGCACGCCTCTCAAGCTTAGCGGGAAGACACGCAGAATCACAGCCAATCTCGAAGCACAGGATTGTGTCGCTGATGGATTCCGGGTCCCGGCTGCTGTTAGCAGCAACAACGACTGCATGACTGCCGATGGCAGAGCCCCTGAGGCCCCGACGTTGCGTACACAGACTGGTTCTCAACTACGAAAGTGACCTTTTCAGCTGCATTTCAGCTTTGATGGACGTCGAATGCTCCTGCACTATCGTATAATGAATAACCGCCCCACCAGATGCCAACAGTTGCAGGGAAGCTGGGAAGACTGCATCTGCAAATGCTGGATTGTTGATCAGCTTTCGCAGGTCATCAACCAGGTTTGACGGCCTCAGACGGACATCACCCGACATCCCGAAGCCCGATTACCAGATGCAGCCAACAAGAAGCCCTTGGCATCAAGCGGTATGCTGACAGGTTCGAACCTGAACTCGTAAAAGTCGTTCAACACCTTAGGCTGATTCCAGTGCCGCCTACATGCTCTGAATCATAGGTTCTCTCGGATCCACAGACTTTTCCTAACGAGGATGTACATGTCGCATCCTTTTTGGAAGATTGCCCACTGCGTTGAAGATCCGATTACGCGAAGTCAAGTTTCCAGAATCGCTCAATACACACGAGTATGCAGCAGACATACGTCGTAGGTTTATCCTGTCCCTTTTGTCAATGAAAGGGGCTAGGCTACATGCGACGGTAGCAATGACCCTGATGCCTGAGACTCTCTCTCTCTCTCTCTCTCAAGTCTCTCAAAAGCTGCGCACCGCACTGTAGGGCTTCAGGATTTAGCGGCACTGCAGCGACTCTTAGCGTATAGATTCGGGGCAGCACTTCGGGGTTTCGCGCATCCGTGCTTATATAAGGGCCCTTCCGGCTGTTGTTGTGTTTGTGTGTCCGGGCTTTCCAGGAGTATGAGAAAGACCGAGGGCTGGGGAGTTGAGGGCTTTGGGGCTGAGGAAACAGATGCCGTTACGAGCAATTGGACATCTGCCGGACGTCTGTCACTGTCTGCATCGTGGTCTCGGAAAAGGAACCAGCCTACATCCAGACCCAGCAAGGCGTAGAGACTCTCTTCATGCTTGAGGTTCCTGAAGCAATATGCCGAAAGCCCCATCCCCAGTTCGAGGGTGGGTCGTTGTGATTGCTTCGCTCGGACCACATGGCATCCCAAGAAAACACCTGCGACGCCAAAGCAAGAAAGCCGGTCCGACTAGCTGCAGCGACCCTGTCCTCTACTGTGCCTTTACAGTCTTACTTATGCTGTTCAATACCCTAACAGCCACAAGCGCATTTTTGAAGGCTGTGGAATCCTGTGCTGCCCTGGGTCAGCCGAATCAGAAGGACACCAAAGAAGATCCGCACCGCAAGAGCCGATAAGCGCACCACGAACAAGTGTCAGCTCACCACTACAGTCACTAGAGGCTCGCACAGGACCGGGACTACTCAGAACTTCACTTGGAGAGTGCTCAGCGGCGACCATCTCCAACGCCTCCGAGCTTGTCCGATACAGAGGTACTGGAAGCCAACGAAGAGCTTGAGGAAGATTCTGCCAGTGGTACTTCATGCAGCTGTGGCTGAATTGACGGGCACAGAATGGCCAGAGCTATTGCTCGGGGTTGTGCCGCTCCCAATTTCTTGACACAGGCTAGCAAGGGGCACATCCAGGTCCGGCGAGGGTTCCTTGTCTGCGCCCGTCATATCCCGGATCACTCGACGGATGCCAGTCCATCGGAATGACCGTCTCCAGTGGCTTCACAGGCCGCACGTATCGTCCCAGCCCAGAGATCCAAGTGGTAAACATGCACCGCTGGCCTCTTCGGATTCCTGCTCCACCGGATAAGAGGCGAAGCTCTTGGTAATGAAAGTTCACGGCGATGCAGAGGTACGGCAGCCTCTAAACTCATCAACTTCTTCTATTTCTTCTGAAAGCGCCCAAGACCAGTTCAAAGGGTACACAGTTCGTTGCCTGTTGTTTATGTGAACCGTCTTGAATCCTGACTGTCCGCTGAAGCCTGGGGCCTTGGGGCATGTTCCGGTTCTTCTGTGACTAGGTTCCCCGGCCCGCAAGCGCCTCGAATTTCCATTGCTCCGACACGGACCTCGCTTGGACTAGGCACCTAGTTACCCGCGAGTCCAGGACTCGGTTTCTCGAGGCCCGGCGCGTTGATGTCTGCTTCCATGCGAGTCCAAGCGGCTGACGACTGGCGCGGTCACCATAAGCAAACGCCGCCGGGATCGTACCCCACGGCGAACTTAAAGACCTCCTGCCTTCGGATGGTCCGCGCAGTTACACCATCCTCCTCCCAAACGCCTACGATGCAAAAGTCCTCTGAGCTCGATTTGAGCACTGCCTGACTACAGCGAGAGCCTGCCCACTCTGCGAGGCTCAGCTGCACCACCACGGACCCTGTCAAGGTGCTTGTAATAAAAACGGTGCTGCAATTTTCGTCAAGCCCAGCCAGTTCTTCACCATCGTCGGAGAATGCCAAGCAAAAGGCTCCCCCGCCTAAGCCCCTTAACCACGATCCAGTCTTTCCACACCATAAGTCTATCTCCTCCCAGTTTGGTTCTCGGCTGGCAACGACGATTGAGGAGCCATCAGGTGAGAAGAGCAGGCCAGAGAAGAACCCATCCGTGCCACGCCCCAATGTCCAAAGCTGCTTTCGGGCTTCAATGTCCCAAACGCTTGCAGAATCACCGTAAAGGCCGCCGGCGACAACTCGCTGACCGTCTGGAGAAAAGCACACGAAAGCTTCACAATCTCTGCAGATGCAGACACAGCAGTTTTCGTGGATGTTCCAAACTTGCAGTTGGCCGGGCTCGCCGTCGGCATCGCCCCAGAATGCCACAAGCTGCCCACCCTGGCAGATGGCCAGAGCCTTTGATCCTCCCTCGCCGCTTGGGTGGTCGAAGAGGACTTCACCTCTCCCCACATCCTCGGGCCATGACTCGGCGAAGACGCTCAGCAAAACTTACGATGCACCAGCAAATCTTGACTCCATTCACATGATGTAAGCGATCGAAGACACGAAGACAGAGCCCTCAGCCGGGTCGCCCAGACTTTCACTGTCTTTTGGGTTCGAGCAGCCAAGGTTTCGGAGATCCGGTCCAAGGCCATCGACCGCACGTCGCCGTCTTCCCTGGGAAGAGCCCACGCGGCCGCTGGTTCCTCGCCGCCTCGGCGGGAGAGAGCCGGAGATGCGGCTTGGACATGGGAGGCCTTTGGGGCCTGGCCTGAGAGGCGCCAAAGCTGCGCCGTGCCCGTGCAGTCCGTCCAGGTGACGAAGCCAAGGCCTGGCCAAAGCGACGGCGCGGCGACGGCGCCTCCGTGCCTAACCGCCCTTCGGCGCCTTCACTGAATAGTACTTGAAGCACGTCGCCATCCTTCACTCCTGCAGAATTCATGCTGCGCAGCAACAGCTCACACTGTTGCACTACTCAACGCAGCGTCACAAAAATCGGGGTCCTGCGGACTTCAATGTTTCGTGGTTCTGCAGCTCCACTGTGCCCAGCAGCAGGCCTCCAGCTCTTGCTGCATTGAAATAGGCACCCGAATGTCAAAGAACAACAACAAGGGGAAGAACAGCCACACCCACATTGCCACAACAATGCCACAACCACAACCACACCCCCACCGGCACCCCCCGCCCACAACCACAACGAAAACGACAACCGGCATAACAACCACAACGACCCCGGCCACCGCGACCAACAGCGACAACCGAAACGACGACGACGAATGACGACGACCACGATCTGCCACGTGTTGATCGAAAACACCGACCCATACCTGATCGAAAGAGAGGAACTGCAACGAGACTTCAATCTGAAGGCCCTGTTGACCTCTTGGCCCCTAAACCCTCGATGATGTTGTCCTACACCCAGCAATTCTCAGAGATGCTGGATGCGGGGCCCCAGAATTGTCGCCGGCCCTAACGTTTCGCTGAAAAGGCTGCCAGCGGGCGCAGCGTGGTGACGTCCCGGAGCCCGAGCGCCGAGGCGGCGCTCTGCCGAAGCTGCGAGGCTGTGGTCGACTCCTGGCTCCAGGGACGTGGCTTCAGCTTTGACCTCTGCGGGGCCCCTCCCTGGCACTTTTTAGTCAGCAGCATTTGATCCCGAACTTCCTCCAGGTCATCCCAGGTCACCAAGTTCTTGCCAGTGACGGCATGCTGCAGGGTTAAGCTGAGTGCCACAGAGCTCGGCTCCATCCCGACGCAGGCCGATGGGATGCCACAACTACAGCACTGCAACCCTCACGCGGTCCTACTGGCCAGGAACCTCTCAACTCCAACAGTACGGGCAGTTTCGCACTGATGCAGAGCAGTCTCACCAACATGTCCGAATGTGGCAGACATCTAGGGCCATTCACAGCTGGAGGCGACATGCCACGGGCTGGCCAAATGTGTCGATGGGGTCTTAGGCTATTAGGGTTCTTGTGATTGACTGGCTGCGCAAGCTAGCGAATGATTGCAACTGACCAACCCTGGTCAGTCTCGAGGCACGATGCTGCCGTTGTAGCCGCCGAAGACGTACAATGAGTTGTTGAAGACCTGTCACTTGCCATCATTTGCGATACTCCTCATGCAGCATGGAATGAGGCTGTCCCGTATCCTTCTCTGAAATCCCGAATGTGCCCTCCCTCGGGCGCAACCACGCGCAGTGCACTGCAAGCCTGTTACTGAATCCTGCCTCAGAGCCCAAGCAGTCTTTGTCTCTCCGTCCGGGGAAGTTTGAAGGCTTACTGAACACTTTGTTGTAGACAGTCTGCAAGTTCAGTTGTCCCCTCATAGCCATCTAGCCCAAAAAAATAAGCCTGGCGCTCAGTGCAATGCTTCTGTGAGGTGCAGCTTCAGTGACACATCACAATCCCAATTATTCTACGCAGTCTCTCTCCTTCTCTACTCTCAGGTGATGCAGGCTAGATTGCCCCTGCTGCAAGATAAAGCGTACCATATGCGTCAAGAGCCCTTTTCGCCCGCGTCAGCGACAAAAGATACAAAGCCAGCTTGACGCGGCGAGGTGGAGTCTCTAGACTCAGGGAAAATGAGCGGGCAGTTCTCTAAATTCGGGTCCTGTTTGAGGGCTCCAGTATAGTACGGCAGCCTTATAATTATAATATATTATAATAGGGACCCTGAAAGGGGCCCTACTTTAGAGAATTGCCCACATTCCTGCGGACTACACATCACTTGCGAGCCGTAGAAGGCGAGTTTCCCTTTGGGCTACACACTCGTTGGATCAGACTACATCGGAGACAAGCGGACTATCGCATCACTAGCGAGCTATACAGGGTGAGTCCACTCGGGCAATCTTCGAATCTTAACAGCGGGACCTTCTATGCAGGTTCCCGTCTTGCAGCTGCCAATAGTCGATGTCTTCCCATCCAGACCCCCAGTCGCAGGTTGCACACTTCAGCGAGCCCCACCCTGGTCAAGAGGTGAGCATGTCTAATAAACCTCGCAGACTGCCCATCCCCTGCGGTCTGCGCCCCTTGATCTCAGTCGCAGGGCGGGCTCCATGCTCCCAAGGCCCACCGCAGCGGTCATCGTGTTGCTCCCAGGTCTTGCCAGGAAATCTTCTTGGTGCTGCCTCGGAGCGATCCAGAGCACCCTGCCTCATAGGCCCAGGATGGGGCGGAAGGAACGAAGGTGAAAACCAGGACTGCGAAGCTATGGCGAACATGGCGGACTAAGTGAGTAAGCTGGCACAGTGCCACCTCTACTCTCTGCCGCCTCAGACCTCGAGGTAGATGCAGCTGCGACTATCAGGCGAGCACACTCCGAAGGCTTCCGAAGAGCACCTGCGAGTGCCCTTGCGGATCACAGACTCGAAGTGCAACCGCAAGAGATACTCGCTCCGAGCCTCTGCGACCAGCGAGGATCTGCCACTGGGAGGCTCTTCCGTGCTTAGCACAAACCTGAACAGAAAACAGCATCGCACAGCGCAAGCGGTTGAGAGAAGCAGAAGGCGAATAGGCGTCCGAGAACTGAGTCAAGGACCAAGTATGGCAGTCGAACCGGAACTCATAGAGGTCATTTAACCGTTCCTGCCAAACTCGATCGATGAGATACCAGGGATAACTGCTTCGGCAGACCAGCTGTGGACCCTGAAACATGCGTGAGGCCCCTTCGACAAGCCCATTTGACCCTGCATCCTGTGCGAAGAAACCGGGATTCTGACTGAACTCACCCAAGCTTGTGCTGACTTACTCAGTTACTCGTGGCTCTGCTGAGCATATCTTGGCCCGATCGTCTAGGCCCTAGGCATCTCTGCGTGCAGCTGTTCCGTTCTGGGTCAAGCCACAGAAACCAGGCTCTGAGCTACAGGAAGGAAGCTATGCTCATTCCCAATCGAGATTATCTGTCCTCCCGTGTTGACAGGCTTCGGGCTCGGGGTTATATACGTCCAGCACGACAATCAGTCTGCCAGCTGCCTGCCCACTATAGCCTCCGAAGAGAAACAACGAATTGCCGTAGACCTCGGGCTCGCACAGAGGATGCTATACCCTACTGGCCATAAAAAGGTTGCAATCCGCTCTTTCTTGCTTGACAACTTCCCCCCTGCATCGCCCCGTGCTAGTCCTGGAGTCGTGCCTGACTCATTTCGTTCTCTGCCACCAAGATCACACGTTTCCAAACCTGCGGTGCCTGTTGTTTGTCGCGTCTTCAGCCTTTTCTAAGCAACGCTCTTTCTGTGTAAGGTCTGCGTTGACCAGCGCGCTCACCCTGCCCCTGGGGATTTCTCGCTCTTGCACTTGCACATGCCACAGATTCGATCGGTTAGGGAACTTGCACTTTTCGATGAAGAGCTCTCTCCCCTTCTCCCCCTTCCCCATCCAACGAGGCAATGGATTTCTGCCATGATGTTGCAGTGCTTTTGTTCCAAACGCCGCGACATCAGCCGTCTGACAACATAACACCATGATACACGTGTCTTGCTACTTCTTCATCCAACCGTCGTGGAGCACGTTTTTAGACCTCGAGGGCGCGGCTACGCTGGCGTGGAAGTAGCGCGGGGACGGCACCTGCACCATGCAGCCGGATGTTCAAAGTAAAGTTCTTAGGACCACATAACAGCAGTCGTCACAGTCCGCAGCAGCACCAGCAGCAGCTAGGGTGAGAACGTTCTTGTCGCTGTTGCTGCTGCTGCTGCTGCTGCTGCTGTTGTCGCTGTTGCTCTGCTGCTGCTGCTGCTGCTGCTGCTGCTTCTGTTGTTGTTGTTGTCGCAGTCGTTGTGGTTGTGTATGTGCTGTGGTTGTAGTTGTGCTGTTGTGGCTGCTGCTTCTGTTGTAGGTCTCCTTTCTATTAGTCTTGCCCTGGCAGTGGTGAGCAAGCTTCTCGGCAAGGTTAGCCTCAGTTTCACACAGCCTTGGTTTGAGTCTTTACTCAACCACGAAGCCTTTGTCGCGCGACCCTCAGCGATTTCAATACTAAGCCTCTGCCCCTATGCAAGCAGCATCTCATGCAGGACTCTTTGACCTGCTGATGTTCGCGATTCATAACAACTCGATATCGACAATGCCGGCCTGTCCAGCCGACCGCACCGACGACCAAGTCCTTCCACCACCGGTGAAAACAAGTTTGGGCGTTGGTGTCTACAGCCCTCCTGTGCTGCCCTTCGAAACCGCAGGAGTAAGAGGAAACGGTCCTGGAGCCCATCCGAAACTGGTGAAAGTCGTTCATTCGATGGACACCTCGGGGTCCGAACTGTTCTAAGAACAGGATAGCTCTTCATCAGCACTTCCAGCATTCCAGGGCAGAGGCCATCATAGCCTCCGAAGAGGTAGACAGATCCATTGTGAGTTGCCCAGGATGGGCAACTCCTGGCACATCTTCCGGTACTCCATGCTTGTTTCATGCGGCCCCTCACGATGATTCGCTTTGGTCCCTGTTGAAAGGAGGAACCCTCGCTGTATCATATTCCTGGATATCCGTGCTGACGTGCCCCTCCTTCCAGAGGGGATGAAGCCCTGCACCTGCGTTGAGTACCACCTTGGCAACCCATTGCAGGATGCAGCAGCTAGAGACCACGACCCAGGCCGGACTCCGTCAAAGCGCTGAACAGCTAGGCCCAGGACGACCCTCGCTCAAAGTCGAAGTCGAACATGTCGTTCAACCAGGCAGAGCCGTCATAGCCACCGAAGACGTACATGAAATCGCCATGCCTTTTGTCTGCAGCGGACCCTCATGAGCTCAACACACCGGCTGTCCCAAGCACTGACACAAGTGCAGGCGAGCAACACGGCCGACACGTAGCCGAATCGAGTCGAAGGCACGCTGCCTTTGTGACCCGACCTCAGCTTGAAACTTTCGCCATCGCCTCTGTGCTACCAGGCTACCACTGTAGATATCATTGCTAGGCTTCTGAGGTGAGAACGGCACAGCCTGCCAGGTGCTCGTGTCGAAGTTGAAGCTGTGAAAGTCATTTAACCAAGTGAAGCCGGAGTAGCCTCCGAACCTCAAAAGCCGAAAACCGGAACGAGACTCTTAGCCTTTCGCATTGTGCACACACATTGCACAATTGTGACGAAGCTCTCTCAGTGAGACAAGAGGCAAATACATCTTGTTGCCGTGGACAACAGCACCGTTGTTCTCACGGCCAGCAGGAACCTCAGAGCCGAGAAGACAAGGAGTGGAAATAAAAACGGTACGCTTCAGCTCGAAGTTGAGCGAGGAGCTGTTCCCTGGACCTCAAGTCTCGTCCAGTACCTTTTTGGCAGGTTCTCTGTGCAATGGTGGCTGTGATCCGGCCTAGCCCAAGCCGTATCAAGGTATCAAGCCCGTGCGGCCACGAGCCTAGATGGAAAGTTGAAGCGGTAGATGTCGTCTAGTCGACCTCATGCATCACTTGCAGCTGCGCAAGTCGACGCCTTTGCCGAAAGAGCAACCTCGAGACTGGAGTTCTGAGGTCGCCACCGCTGCCGCCATAGCCACCAAAGACATACAGCGCATCCTGCAAAAAAGTGACACCCGGCCCTTGGCTCGGGGTCGAGCGGGGAGACATCGAAAAGTTCACTCATAAGATGCACTTACAGAAGCACGGTGAAAGGACCCATGCACCTCTGCGGCCAAGATGCCGCATGAACACGGCATGTAAATTGCAGTACATTGTAGAACAAGCCAGAAGCACCTATCTATGGCGTATCTCTTGCATGCTGCACGAGGCCTGGTATATGACACTGGACGCGCCACTCCGCCTTTGTCCATGCGACCGTTCACCACTGAAGCGGGTGGATGTCATGACACATGGATGCATACGATTGAGACGAAGCCAAGATCGGCCCCGAAACAGAATCTCTTTCAAGCTCGTTCCGCAGAAGCCCGAACAGCCTCCTGCTCCTGCAAAACAGGTGAAGACTGGGATCCCCGCTCACCCGGCTTCACAGGTGAATTCAGCTCGACTTCTCGCCACCTCAGCTGTTCTGGTTCGGAGTTGCCAGCTTGCCAAAGCAAGAGTGCAAGGGAGGTAGATGGAGGTAGTGTTTCGATTCAGAGATCTGGGATTCACGAGCCCTGAACCTGACTCAATTGCCTTGGTGGTGAACTGACTTGAAGGCTTCAAGATTCGCTTTACCCCACTGCCATTGCCGAATCTGATGATTCGACTAGCGCTGCGCAAACCAAGAACAAGCCATGACAGCCTACGCACAGCGAGAGAGAGGGAGACAGAGACAGAGAAAGCGCGCGTGTGTGTGTGTGTGTGCGCGCTACCCATGTTACTGAGAGCACACAGTTCGGGGCAGCTCGAACTCAGCTGCCGTAAAGCTGACCGAGGTTTTGTTGAAACCCACCCCTTTACCCGCTGAAGAATGTCAGATCTTTCGCTGTCAGAGCGTGCCTCCGCAGCAAGCTCAAGCTGCAGTCGTTGCGGGCGTCGCCTTCGACCTCCGTTGCTTGGTGCTGTGCAAACCCGAAGGCAGTTTGAGATATCTTGAAATTCTCAGCCTGCGGCCCTCTTATGGGGTGAGGTATCAAAAAAAACTAGTTTAAAGGATCAAAAACAACCATTTTTCCCCTTCTTATGGTCCCCCCTCCCCCTCTCTGAAAGGAGACTCTTATAATTTCATAGAACTCTTCAAAAGCGGACCGCCTCCGGGACTGCGGGGCCAGCCGCCAGCAAGGACTCCATGATGTCTTCGCCGCATTTAGGGGCGTGGCCTAAATTCCAAGAAGTGCCCTCCTTTGAGCCGAGGGGTCGAGGTTTAGCACATTGCTGGGCTACACTCGTCCTGCAAAGAGCACCCTTCCCGGTAGTTGAAGTCAAATATAATGGCATTTTCGGGAAATCTCCTGGAACAATTGTACCTGCTGATCGCACTTGGTTTTCTGCCACTCCATTCGCCGCACCGATTGGAGATGGAAGAACATGCCCGAATTGCTCTGCTGGCCAGAACAACAACTTCACAGCATGCATCACAAAAGCGGTCGATAAATGTCTTCACAGCATGTCGGTTCTGCAAACCAAGTCACCAGAGCAATGCTGGCAAGCTACTGCTGCATGTGGCAAGGTACGCTCAGAACGGAGAGGTCTCGAGTCCTCCATCACCTTTCAAAGGCGCTGGCGACACAGGATGCCCAATCCCTCAGCTCAGCTTCGAAAGAACTCGGGGCCTCTTGTAGTGAGCGTTCCTGCCAGGCTTGACGGCGGAGACCGTGTCTTCGAGAGGCTTGTGCACCTCAGCACCACAATGATTAGAGGATAGCGGCGCAGACCGGACCCACCCCAGCCGCCAGAAGTGCTCTGCTGTTTCCTTGCTGAGGCTGCCGCCATGGATGGTGCGAAGCCCTCGCCGTTCCGGTAAATAATCTCACACTCGTCCTAAGCAGAAGTGAACTGGGAACCATGCATCTGAGGCAACCTTCTTGAGGGTCAAAGCGCTAAGCTGCAACTGTACGCCCCTCCCAATGCGGCGTCAAGGGCCGACTCGATGGTGTCAAAGATGGACTCGATAAGTGGCGCTGGGTCCTGGGATTGAGACCCCTGAGATTCCATGAGCTCCAGACGCCAGCTGTGCGAAAGCCGCCTCTGGACACTGAAGACCCCTTAAACCCTAAATGTCAGGCCGATGATGGTGCTTCCATATGCCATTCAACCCCGCATGTCCTGTGCCCACGAAGCAAGGTCGCCTGGCAAGTGGCAGTCAGGACGATGCCGCGGAAGGGTTTAGGTTTCAGGGGTGTCGCCCAGCCACTCAGCCACTGCCTACCTACCTGCCTGCCTGCCTGCCTGCCTGCCTACCTACCTACCCATGTACATGCCAGTATGTATGCACACTTACACATACACATGCATGCATGCGCGGGCGCTCACAAACAGACATGTGCATCCCTCCATCCCTCCATCCATCCATCCAGGCATGCGTACACTCATACACACTACATATACATATACATATACATATACATATACATATACATATACATATACATATACATATATATATATGTATTAATAGACATACATGCATATATATGTATACATACATACATACATACAT